ATTTCAACCTACCTTCAGTTGGTGATCTGTCAGAGAGATTGGAACGAGCGAATTCGCAAATGCAACGAGCATGCAAGGACAGTAGAGTTATGGCGGCATCATACGATGTTAAGGAAATGTTCAGTCGGCTACCCCATGACGAGATTAAAGAGACCTTAGAYTGGATTATCAGTTGCTTTAGTGATAAGCAGGTAATTAAGGTCAACCCAAGAGGAAAGGGAGCATCGTTTGGCGAAAAGAAGGGGGAAGGGTGGTGGTCAGTTGAGATCTGAGGAAGTTTGTTCACTTTGAGCTGGTGCATACATGCACTAGGGCTTTTAACGTTTTGTTGCAGCAGGTTTTTGGCAYCCCCATGGGAAAAAGCACGAGCCCGCCACTGCCATAACATGTGTGCATGCTGAGTGGCATTTTCTGGTCACTTTGGGGACAGACAGGAAGCTAGTATTCAGGGTAAGACTCATGGATGATGTCTCACTGTTCCTAGCCTACAAGAAGGGTGAGCAGGAGTCTATTGGTAAGGCAAATCGAATCGGGAAGAGATTTGAGAGATGCTATCCCAGAACACTTACCTTGAAGTGAACGGACAAGAAAACGGGCACCTAGGATTTTCTGGGCTGCAAAATGCAGGTCAGACCCAGTTTCCCGTATCTGGGTACCATTCAACAAACTAAGAATGAGAGTACGCTGTGGACTACCGGAGACATTATTTTTCGAACAGGCCAGGATTTCTTCTCATGGTCCAGCCGGAAACAGAAGTCTGCCGCGATAACCAGATGGTTCCACCGGATAGACCGGAACACGACCATCCGAACCAGCATCCCGAAGCAGGTCTTGACCATACGGAAGGAATTCTGGGCCAAAGGGTTCCCGGATGATATTTTTGAAAAGGCTCTGAACACGTTTTCTCTGAACCGGGATGAGATGTGGCAGTTTGCCGCACAGCTGCTATGTAGACTATAGAACTAGTCGGGGTATTACTAGGTAGCGTACGTAATGATTGTCCTCTTTTTTCGGCATGGCATTGGGGGTTGCCCCGAGAAGGGTTGGAGGAACAACGGTGAAGTCTCGGGATGAAGTTGATGGGGGGAGAAAGTAGTGTCCGACAAACCCGACCACTGGGTCTCTTGGTCACCTACCGCTTCTCATAATAAGGTTATGTCCTCTTTTTTGGACAACGGTCTTGGATCGCGTGTGTTCCACATCTGCATGCTTTGTGTGCCGTTGCATGCCTCGTGTGCAGAGTGTGTCGCACCTACCTGATCTTTGATCGAATGTGTGTTGTTCCATCTCTGCGGAAGCGCTTGGTAACCAGCGGAGGATAGACACTTCGTATGGTGGTCAAGTTTGACCACGTGACGTGAGCGTAGCGAACGCCCATGTGCGATAGACGCGTTGTAATATGTGCCAGAGTACTGGAGGAGAGATGGCGTCCACTAGCCACCAGGGAGGAAGTGGGGGAGCTGATTAACCTCGAAGAAGCGTGCAAGTGTGCTACAGCTGCAAATTGCCAGGACACTATGCTCGGGACTGCGGCTTGTACTGGAAGGAAAGGTTTGAAGCACAAGAAGCAAAGGCGCCAGATGCTCAAGCAGCAGGAAGCGGATTGCGGCAATTTCGAGGAAGTTCAACCTCACCGGCAAGACGTAAGTGGGAACCATCGAAGCGCTCCCCATCAGCGGACTCAGCATATTATGACAAGAAAAACGAACGCGATAGTGTGAAGGATTTGGTCCATCTACTGGTCAGTGAAAGGGAGGAGAAACTTAGGAAAGAGAAGGAAGAGGAAGAGAAAGCGAGGAGAGAACAGGAGCGGCTGGAGAAGGAAGCGAGAAAAAGGAGGAAGGAAGAAAAGAAACGGCGAGAACAACAAGAGAACGACGAACGGATAGCTAAATTCGTGTAAATTCAGT